CTGTGCGGGCGAGCGTTATCATCCAGAAATCTGAAATTGGGCTCCAAATTCCAACGATAATCATCCACAATGTAATCAATGATGTCGCGAGCATAAATTTCACCGGTCATGGTACCTTCACAAACATACAACTCCGTTCTACCTCCGTAGAAAATTCCACCCCAGACCATTACACCTCCACCTCCAAATGGATGCACTTCTTGAACATACCGGTCATTAGCTCTTGAATTTCTTGGTCTCCAGACACGAACTGTACGTCTGTCAGGACGAAGACAAAAGCGGCTTTCATCGCTGAACATCACAGTACGCCACTCATCATTCCAGTTGGTTCTTTCATTACACCAAAGCAAACGTTGAGCTCTATGAACTGCGGTCAATGGAGGGCGTCTTATAGGCCTATAGCAATGTAAACCTGCTTCATTTAATCGATTTAAAACCGTCCTAGGGGTAATACGAACTCTATTGGCAGCGAAAAGGTCCTGGCTGAGAAACGTGCAGTTTCTTGTAGGATCCATCCTAGCTCCTCTCACTAATCTTCGGTCTTCCCTAGCATTTGTTGATCTTGGTCTACCCTCCCTATGCCTTTCCAGGACAGATCCAGTTTCATTAAATCGGTTACTAAGTCGGGAAACTACACTTTGAGAGACATTATACCGATCAGCTACATCGATCTGTCGCGCACCTCCAAGAAGCAATCCAATGGCTTGATTTGCTTCTTCTACCGTTAAATGACGTCTATTCATATTGTCGATGACAGAATAACCACACAGACCACATTGCGCCTAGCAACACACAAACAAAACTAAACTGTACAAAAAACTACATTTTTTGTGATAAAATGCTTTTTATCTGTTTGGGTAGAATTTTATATGTTTGCAGGCAATATTTTCTTAAACATAAACGTCATAGGTAATAATAGCTATACCACATTTTTTCTAGACTGCACGTTCCTCAGCCAGGACCTTTTCGCTGCCAATAGAGTTCGTATTACCCCTAGGGCGGTTTTAAATCGATTAAATAAAGCAGGTTTACATTGATATAGGCCTATAGGACGCCCTTCATTGATTGCAGTCCCTAGACCTCAACGTTTGCTTTGGTATAATGAAAGAGCCAACTGGATGAGTGGTATACTGTGATGTTCAGCGATGAAAGCCGCTTTTGTCTTCCTGCTGACAGAATTACAGTTTGTGTCTGGGGACCAATAAATTCAAGAGTTAATGACCGGTATGTTCAAGAAGTGAAGGTACTATGACAGGTGAAATTTATGCTCGCGACATCATTGATAACATTGTGGATGATTATCGTTGGAATTTGGAGCCCAATTTCAGATTTCTGAATGATAACGCTCGCCCGCATAGAGCCAGGGTAGTACAAGAACAGCTAGTATTCCATGAAATTAATCATTTGCCATTACCCCCGCTCTCTCCAGATTTAAACTGCATCGAGCATGGTTGGGACATGCTCGGAAGGGCACCAATTGCCCATCAACCTCCTGTTCAGGACGTAAGGTCTTTGAGGCAAGTTCTTCCATATTTATGGGACACCTTGGATCAAAATGACTTGGATCGTTTAATTTTAAGTATGCCTCGCAGAGTTAAAGCAGTAATAGCCAACAGAGGTGGAATTACACGCTATTAATCATTTTTTTCTTTTTTATAATTATCTGTTTTGTTACATTGTAATAGAAAAGTTGCCCGTAAATATTAATTAAAGAATTTTTTCAGTTAAACAAATGTGTTTTATTTCTAAAAGAGATGACAGTAAATGTACGTTATACAAATTTTTTTGAAAACTATTTTTTTCTTAGAGAATTAACAATATCCTTAACTTTTTTCGATCAGTTTATATGCCTTTTAACCATACCTTTGGGATTTTGTCAAAAAATTACATTCAAGTAAAAATGGAAATAAGGCCTTTTGAAATGTTATTTAATTATTTGAAGTCAAAAATATTAACAACGCATTAAACATACTGTCTGGCGGGCTCGCCTGTTCTTTTCTTTCTCCTCTAAAATAACCGCTGGAAAGTTTAGGTCTTTTTGTTTTCCATTCTTCGGGGTAAACATAATGTAACATTTTTATGGTTCGGCAGGGTAAATAAAACAAGCACGAACTAAACGATTTATTTTATAACTTGATTACAATTAAAACACTAAGGGCCTTATGCAGAAACGTTGATTTATTTATATCAACTGATTTACGCATATCCACTGATTTAAGTTGGGACCAATTTGGAACATCGCAAATTCTAAATGGCAGAAAATTTGTAGGTTATCTCACATATACTTAAATATCTATTACATTATAAAAGTAATATATTACTAAAGCATTTGAAAAGAACAAAGAATATTTGTTGAAGGTGAAAATTTTATCCATGAAAAAAAAAATTTAAATAAAATTAAACTTATAGTACCATTTTACTATTAGTTTAATTTTATTTCAATGTTTTTTATGGATAACTTGACAGAATACATTTTTGTAGATATTATTGTGCATTTTTCTACTTAAAATCTTTCAATAAAATTTTGTATAGGGTCGTTTTGAGGGGTGGTGAATCCAGTGCCGTGCTTAGATTTTTTTTTAAAATCGCTAATATGAATACTCTTAAAAACTAAAATCGCACAATAAATAAAAGATTTACAGGAGTGAGTCGCAAAATGGGTCACACTGTAGGCATATTGACTTTTTGAATTTATTTTGTTGTATATATTTGTTTGTAAATACAAACAAAAATACTGTCTATTTTTATATATATATTTTAAATCAGTCGTTAACCACTGATATAAATTATATCAGGTGATCTACATTTTAGATGATTTTATTGGCTAAAAAACAAATTCAGTAAACCATGACTTCTGCGTACGGTCCTGACAAATTATAAAACTAACTAATCACCTAACTACTTTATACTGTACAAGAGTCTATTTATTTGCTAGTGATGTAAAAAAAAACGTTTTTTTTCAAATTTGAAAAAAAAACGTTAAAAAAACATGTTTTTTTTCAGAAAAAAAACAAAAACAATGGTTTTTTTTTTTAAATTATAAAAAAACTTGTACACCGTTTTTTTTGTTTTTTCAAATTATAAAAAACAGTTTTATAATAATTAAAAAAACGTTCGTTTTTTTGTTTTATAAAAAATTTACAAAACAATGTATGACAAGTGTCGCCATTTGTTATTAACAGATCGCTTTAATCATAGAAATGATTATTTGCAATATCGATGCGCTAAAAATTAAACTGAAAGCTTTTCTGTACACGGTACTGACACGTCGGAGGGGCCAGAAGAATTTGACGTTGATTCTGATTATAGAGATTTTTAATTTTAAATATTCATTGACATGTAAGATTTAAATTCTGCCTATTTTTTTATAGATAAAAACTATTTCAGTTAAGTTTTTGTTTTAATTTTCATAGACACTCATGTATGTTTATTTTAGAAGCAAGTTTTTATTTGGTGTTTTTATTTAAAACCCTCTATTATAAATAACGATTACCCATTTTAAAGTTTCAAAAATTTTCTGCTTTAAGCTTACTCTTTTCCCTTATAATCTATATTAAGGAAAAAACAATGTTTCTGAAAAAAAACAACATTTTTGAAAAAAAACAAACCCCTTTGTTTTTTTTCTAAAAAAAACATGTTTTAAAAAAAAAACAAAACGTTTTTTTTTCTGGTTACATCACTATTATTTGAACGTATATTTAATTTATTTCGTCGCGAGTACCAAAGCTTGACTAACTCCTCGACGCTCCGCTGTGCCTTATATATTCAGTGCGTACGGGACCCACTTCATGCAAGCACCTCCCCGAACCAAAATAAGACGAAAATCTAAATAAATATTTTTCCTAATTACGTATGTTTAAAAGATACAGGGTAATAAAGTGGTAATATCAAATCAGTTTTTTTAATATGACTTCTACTATGGTAGACTTGGAAAGGTGATATTTTGCGAACGGTTACTTACTACCAAAACACATATTCACACATAATTACAATTGTTCGAGTGAACACAGTGTCGTAGAAACAGGGGTTGCTTAAGCTTATTGTCCCATAGAAACTTTGAGGTTAGGTTTTTATACCATTTGATGCAATTTTTCGATTACTCAGTTCGGCTACTATTAAAAAGGTGTACATCTCAAACTTCGATAAAATAAACCGTTTCCGAGATATTCGTATATGATAACAATTTTTTTAATTGGAAAAACTACAATTTTTTTAATGTGACGGTCAGGGCAAAAAGTCCCGAGGCTCATGGAATGTCCTTTTTAGTTTTTTCAATTAAAAAATAAAATTTGTTATCAAATACCTTTTAATCCTTTTAAATAATGCGATATAACAATTATTGTAATTTCGAATATCTCGGAAACGGTTTATTTCATCGAAGTTTAAGAAGTACACCTTTTTAATGGTAGCCGAACTGTGTAATCTAAAAATTGCATCAAATGTTATAAAAACCTAACCTCAAAGTTTGTATGGGACAATAAGCAACCCCCATTTCTACGACACTGTGTTCACTTAAACAATTATAATTATGTATGAATATGTGTTTTAGTAGTAAGTGACTGTTCGCAAAATATCACCTTTCCAGGACTACCATAGTAGAGGTTATATTAAAAAAAACTGATATGATAAGTAACACTTTATCACCCTGTATCTTGGAAACATAAGTAATTAGGAAAAATATTTATTTGGGTTTTCATCTTATTTTGACTTGCTCAATCTTTTCCTAAATTTATGCCAATAAGTTTAGGGACACCTTGTATAGGAAAGCCAATATACGCTTTTACTGGCTTGTGAAATTTTGTTTGTATTTTAATTTAATAAAAAGATAAAAAGTTATTTAAGTTTAAAATCCTAAATTCCCTGTATAATACAATGTTATTATTAGGAAGTACTTTTAAATTTGAATTGTATATTTTTTAACATTTTAAAAAATACTAACAACTAATTTTGTTTTAGTAAAACATCAATCCTATGGGGGTACAGCAAATGTTTTTTCTCAGGGCCAGAATACGAAGTAACCCAACACAGGATCAAAGACCATAAACAAAAACCAACTACTAAAAAGCGTTCTTGCATGTACTGTGACTATGCATCAAGAAGTAATCTAGAGTTACAAAAGCACGTATATAGAAAACATAAAGAACAAAATGATTTAGAAAATAAAGTAGAACTACAAATAAAAACTTACTCTTGTGTGTACTGTGACTTTTCAACAGTGGAACAACGTGATTTAAAAAACCACATATACGGTAAACACAAGGAACAAAATCAGTTGGAAAATAAAGTAGAACTACAAATAAAAACCTACCATTGTGTGTACTGTGACTATTCAACAGTGAGATTCAGTGATTTACAAAAGCACATCTTTAGAAAACATAAAGAGCAAAATGAGTTGGAAAATAAAGTAGAACTACAAAGAAAAACTTGCTATTGTGTGTACTGTGACTATACAACATTGAGAAACAGTGATTTACGAATGCACATCTTTAAAAAACATAAAGAACAAAATGAGTTGGAAAATAAAGTAGAACTACAAATAAAACCTTACTATTGTGCGTACTGTGACTATTCAACGGTGAGAAACAGTGATTTACAAAGGCACATCTTTAAAAAACATAAAGAACAAAATGAGTTGGAAAATAAAGTAGAACTACAAATAACAACTTACTACTGTGTGTATTGCGACTATTCGACAGTAAGAAACCCAAATTTACAAAGGCACCTCTATAGAAAACATAAAGAACAAAATGAGTAAATAAAGTCGCAATCACTATGTCAACTTGCGTGTACTGTAACTTTACATCAGTAGGGAAGCGGTTGTTAGATGAACACATCCATAAAAAACATAGAAAACAAAATGATTTAGAAAGTAAAGTGGAGCTACAAATACAAACTTAAAACTCTTGTGTCTACTGTGACTTTTCAACATTAGCAGAATGCAATTTAAAAAACGACATCTATAGTAAACACAAGGAACAAAATGAGTTAGAGCATAAAGTAGAATTACAAACAAAACCTTACTATTGTGTGTACTGTGACTATTCAACGATGAAAATGCAATATTTACCAAAGCACATCTTTAGAAAACATAAAAAACAAAATAAAATGAAAATAAATACTTACTCCACTAATAAAAATGATGTAGAAAAAAAAGGACCAATACAATTTTAAAAATACTTAGTTATGGCAGTATAGCAGTTATTACAAAACCACATGTATAGTAGTACACACGAATAACAATATTATTTAGAAAATAAAGTTGCAAAATATTTTAAAACTTACTCAACATCTATAGCAATCCCAAAGAACACAATAAGTTAAAAAAGAAAGAAGCGTTATAAATAAACTATTGTATGTACTGTGACTATACAACAGTGAAAAACAATGTCGGCCAAATGGTGTCTATTACAACGTACGCACGAATTTTATTATTTTTACCTTACATTTGTTTAAATTTCCTGATATGTTATAAAGTACTATATTTTTAATATTTGCATATTTTTAACATAGGAATTCTACCTTGTAAATTTTAGTAGTATAGCAAATAAAGATTTATAATTGTCATTTCACCGTTTTATTTTTCTATATTTAACTGGTTTTTTTTTTATATCCTTTATTTGTTATTTATGTTAAATTAATTGTTAACCCATACAGAAGAAATTAACAACTAACAACTAATTTGGTTTTAGTAAAACATCAACCATATGTGGATACAGGGATACAGGACCAGAATACGTAACCCAACACATGATAAACGACCATAACCAAAAACTAACTCATAAAAATCAATTACAAAACAACATGTATAGAAAATCTAAAGAACAAAATGAGTTAGAAAATAAAGTAGAACTACAAATGAAAACTTACTCTTGTGAGTACTGTGACTTTTTAACATTGAAAAACCTTGATTTGCAAAATCACATCTTTAGTAAACATGTATCAATAAAAACAAAAACTTACTCTTGTGTGTACTGTGGCTTTTCAACGGTGGAAAAGCGTACTTTAAGAAACCACATCTTTAGCAAACACAAAGAACAAAATGAATTGGAAAATAAGATAGCAATACAAACAAAAACTTACGCTTGTGTGTACTGTGACTTTATATCAGTCGAAAACAATAAACTACAACTACACATCCACAGCAAACACAAAGAACAAAATGAGATAGAAAAAAAAGTGGAAATAAAAATAAAAACACAATCTTGTGTGTACTGTGACTTTACAACAGTAAAAACCCGTAATTTGCAAATGCACATTTTTAACAAACATAGAGAGCAAAACGAGTTGGAAAATAAAGTAAAAATTATTATAAAAACATACTCTTGTATGTTCTGTGACTTTACGACAGTGGAACACAAAAGATTGCAAAACCACATATATAGCAAACACAAAGAAGATAAAGCAGGTCTACAAAATGTTTAAACATAATGCCAACTGTATTTTATCAAGGTTTTTTACTGTTTTACGGAACCCCTCAATTTATGTTAATTTCTGTTTTCTTGGTTTCTTAGAACAATGTGAACAGATATCTTAAGATGAGGTTACTTCTTTAATTAAGAGCATGACACAAAGGTTGTTTTTTTAATATTCTTATTTTAATTTTTTATGTTATTTCGAAGATTTTCTGAAAAACCTAGTGTCTGATTAATCTTGCAGTCGAGTATTTAACCTTATTTTAATGTTTTTGTAATAGAATCTTAAAACCTAATTAATTTTTCTATCCACAATCCACACAACAAGGTCTGTTCTATCTCATGCTAAAAATACTAAAAATCACTGCAACACTGCACAGAGTTTAACGGCGGCCATTTTTGTTGTTTACAATTCTTGTGCTTTGGGTTTGTGCTGTTTAATAATTGTTTTAAACGTTGTGTTTCTTACAGAGGCACTTGTAAGCCTTAAATAAGGCCTTTAAGTGCTAAGGACAACCATTTTACTCCTCTTTTATAATAAATATACCTTATTCTATCAGGGCTGTCAAATGACAATTTGAAGGTTAATTTGTGGGTTATAATTTAACCTTAAAATTGACATTTGACAGTTTTATGACAGCCCTGATAAAATAAAGTTTATTTTTTACAATAGAGGAGTAAAATGGTTGTTCTTAGCACTTTAAGGACTCTTTTAAGGCTTACTATGAGAAACACAACGTTTAAAACGATTATTAATCTGTATAAACAGAGCACAAACCCAAAGCACAAAAATTGTAAACAACAAAAATGGCCGCCGTTGCAGTGATTTTTTGTATTTTTAGTACGAGATAGAACAGACCTTGTTGTGTGGATTGTGGTTCTATCCTATTTTAGAAATACTTTTTATATTAAGAATTGTATTTTTTAGCCTAAATAAATTTGTATTAATTTTTGAATGTTTTCTTTTATATTTATTTATACATTTACCACTAAAATTTTTTATATTCCATTTTGGGGTGTTACACGAATATTTGAATTTCGCAACTCCTATCTCATATAGAAGCGAACTATTTTAGGGACATTTTTTTTCTCTCTAGGCGATATTTGCCATGCTGTTTTAAGTACTTAAATAGTACTGTGGGTAAAAGGCATAAGGGGATAAGTCAAAAAAAGCAATTTTTCAATAGAGCCTTTAACGTGTTCGCATTAATTTAGGAAATATATTTATGTTTAACGAATATACGCTTTTGTTAGCATATGACATGTGCTAACAAAAGGGTATACCCGCTAACCATAAACATGTTTCCTGAATTAATGCGAATACGTTTAAGGCTCTACTGATAAATTGCTTTTTTTGACTTATCCCCTTATGCCTTTTACCCACAGAGTAGTTAGTGCAAATTCGCAGGATCTGTCGAAACGCTTTTCGATGAATCAATGAAAACATTTTTCGCATTTCGCAACTGTATGAAACCGACTCAACATCGTGAACATACGTCACAAATGGCAAATGAGAATAGACCGTGTTTACGGATACTTACAGAGCTGCAAAATGTTGTCTAGCCGTGAAATTTTTGCAGCGTTTGCCGGTATGGCTTTTGTTTTGTATTTAAGCATTTATTACTATGGTTTTGGTGCAGGTAATTAGGTCTAAAAAAATTATAATAAAAACTCAATGTACAGTGTACATTGTACACCGAAAATAGATTAGGTAAGTTTTTTTTTTCAGATGGTGCAGGACTTGTAAGCTAATGAAAGGTAGGTAGATACACATTATTTCTTTTCTGGTTTTTTTTTTAAACAGACATGTTTAAGCTAGAAGTATTAATATTATTGAAATATACTTACCTACTTTATAACTAACATAACCAACCTGATTTTTTTAGCTTTATAATAATAATAATTTGTAAATAATGTAAATTAAGGATAGATTTTATAGAATTCTATAAAAACTTCTTAGAAATTTATAGTTATAATGGGTGATAGTTTCCCTCCACTTTTCACCATTTTATTGTGGTAGGAAAAAGTGGTCGAAAACTCGAAGACAGGTTTTTTAAATATAAAATATAGCTTTCGGGGGTTATTTTACCAAGTAAATAAAACTCCATATAATTCTAGATATATTTTTATTCTAAAATAAAAACAAATACTTTTACAATTTAAATTTAGTTTTAACAAAAAAAGTTTTAATTACATATTCTATAATATTGGATTTTTTCCATATACAATGAAGACCATTAAAACCGCCGCGCCTAACAACGTGAATAATGAACTCATTATTCACGTTGTTAGGCATCATTGACTGGCCGATTTCCATGTTTACTGTGATTTAAACCAAATTTAGAGGAGGCGACTATAATAATATTTAATAACTTTAACTTTAATTACTTGAGATTATGCGCATTATTTACTCGGATGATTTGCGTCTCTCGTCTAGCGACATCCTTGTAAATAATAGCCTGCATTATCTCTCTTATAATAATTTACTATAAAATGAACATGTGTTAAAATACAAAAATTACCTCTCAATTTTTAGAATAAAATAATTGTCTATAAATTAATTTGTAATATTATTATATTATATTTTAAGTAAGCATAGCTTGCGGAGCAAGTTTTTAATAAAGGAGCGCATAAAGACATTTATAACCATTGAATACCATACTTGACCTACGACCAACAAAAACTCACAATCCACACATTAAGGTCTGTTCGATCTCGTACTAAAAATACTAAAAATCACTGCAACACTGCACATCATACAATGACGGCCATTTTTGTTGTTTACAATTCTTGTGCTTTGGGTTGGTACAGATTAATAATCGTTTTAAACGTTGTGTTTCTTACAGAGAGACTTGTAAGCCTTAAAAGAGACCTCAAAGTGGTAAGAACAATCATTTTACTCCTCTTTTGTAAAAAATAAACCTTATTCTATCAGGGCTGTCAAATGTCAATTTGAATGTTAATTTGTGAGTTATAAAATAACCTTAATAACCGAAATATATATATATATATACATATATATATATTTCGCAGTCAGGCAGTTATGACGTCACAGTTAAATACGTTTTAGCAAACCCTGATAAATTTTTAATACTTAATGGTCTCGTGCACTTGTGTTCTTGTAATGATTGATAAGATGCAAAGTAATTTTATTCTTTATGTTTTTTATAGATGTGGTTTTGCAACCTTTGATTTTCCACTGTTGTATAGTCACAGAAAACACAAGAGTACGTTTTTATGTTTAATTCCACTTTATTTTCCACCTTATTTTGTTCTTTATGTTTGTTATAGACGTGGAATTGTAAATTGCGGTTTTTCACTGTGCTAAAGTCACAGTACACACACAAATGAGTTTTTATGTTTAATTCTACTTTATTTTCCAGCTCATTTTGTTCTTTATGTTTGCTGAAGACGTGGTATTGAAGCCTTTGGTTTTCTACTGTTTTAAAGTCACAGTACACACAAGAGTAAGTTTTTATTGCTACTTGTGTTTGTTCTTTATGTTTTCTGTATATGTGATTTTGCAGCTTTTCATGTTCTACCGTTGAGAAGTCGCAGAATTCACAAGAGTAAGTTTTTATGTTTATTTCCACTTTGTTTTTTAAGTCGTTTTGTTGTCTATGGTTTACAAAAATGTGCCTCTGCAAATTTCCTTTTTTCATGGTGGTAAACTTGCAATAAATACAAGGGTGAGTTTTTATAGCTACTTTATTTTCTAACTTATTTTGTTCTTTATGTTTGTTAAAGATGTGACTTTGCAGCTTCTGATTTTCCACTGCCGTGAAATCACAGTACGTACAAGGGTACATTTTTATGTTCAAAGCTACTTTATTTTCCAACTCATTTTGTTCTTTATGCTTCTTATAAATGTGTATCTGCAAATTTCGGTTTTGGAAGGCCGTAAAGTCACAGTACACACAATAGTGAGTCTTTACTTGTACTGCAACTTTTTTTTCCAAATCATTTTGTTCCTTATGTTTTCTATATACGTGGTTTTGCAAACTTCGCCTTTCACTCGTTCTAAACTCACAGTACACACAGGATATATTTTTTATTTTTGTTTCGTTTTTATTAGTTAGTTTATATCCATGTTCTTTGATCATGTGCTGTATAACTTTGTTCTCTGGTCCGGAGAAAAAACATTTGATGTATCTACACATCGCTTTTTCACTGAAACAAAAAATGTTTTTAGTTTTTATTTTATTATTTTTACAATTATATTACTTGTACAAATAAAACTATTATGTATAGAAAAACTTTATTATTGGGTTTTTACTTAAATTAGGGTATATACATAATTTGCAAGACCGGTATTTTTTTAAATAATTATATAATACAAATAAAAAATATAATAAAAAAACACGTCAAAAAACATTTATTTATATCGATTTTACAACATTCACATTTTTGTCTTAAACAACATTTTTTTTGTGTAATTTTTCATAATGCGAATTAAATTGTTTCTTTTGCACGCTATGGTAGTCACACTTGTCACAATAGTAAATTTTTATAGATATCGGTACTTTCTTTTCCAAATCATTTTGTTTTTTATGTTTTCCAATAATGTGTCTCTGTAATTGTAATTGACCACATGATGCCGTATAGTCACAGTACACACAAGAGTAAGTTTTAAAAGTAATTGCTGATTTATTTTCCAACTTATGTTTGCTATTGATGTGGTTTTGTAAAGCATAGTTCTGTACTGCTGTAAAGTCACAATACATACAAGAAAATATTTTAATGGTTATGGGTACTTTATTTTCTAGGTCATTTTGATCTTTATGTTTGAAGAAGACGTGAATTTGTAAATTATGTTTTTTTACTGTACTAAAGTCACAGTACACACAACGGTGTGTTTGGATTTCTAGAGCAACTTTTTTTTCCAATTCATTTTGTACTCTATGTTTGCTGTAGATGTGGTTTTGTAAGTTACCATTTTTGACGGTGGTAAATGCACAATACACACAAGAGTACGTTTTTATTGTTACTTTATTTTCTAAATTATTTTGTTCTTTATGTTTTCTATATATGTGACTTTGCAACTTTTGACGTTCCAATGCTTTATAGTCACAGTACACACAAGGAAAAGTGTTTATTGCTACTTTATTATTTAAATCATTTTGATTTTTATGTTTTAAAAATATGTGCTTTTTAAGTGCTTGCTTGTAAACTCCTTTATAGTCACAGTACACACAAGAGAAAGTTTCTAATGCTACTTTACTTTGTTCTTTATGTTTGATATAGATGTGACTAAGCAACCTTCGGCTTTCCAACGTTATGAAGTCACAGTACTCACAAGAGTAAGTTTTTACCTTTATCTCTACTTTATTTTCCAATTCATTTTGTTTTTTATGTTTCCTATATAAGTGTTTTTGTAAATAACGTTTTTCCTTTGTTTTAAAGTCACAGTACATACAAGATATGCTTTTTATATGGTCTTTCATCATATGTTGGTTTACTTCGTATTCTGATCCCAGGAAAAAACATTTGCTGTATTTGCAAGTCGTCTCACTAAAACTAAAAGAAAAGTTTAAATTTTTTTTATTTTGCTAGTCTCACAATAAAATTAAAATAAAACGATTTTATGCCTGTATACTTTGTATTAAAAAATGTTTTAATATTACAACTAAAGCACAATTTTTTTTAAAAAAGCTTTATTACATAAACGAATCTAAAACTAATACAAACATTTTGATTGTAATAAATAAACTGTAAATATTTAACTCTCCCCAGTTTCTAATCCATGAATTGTTCAGGTATAAGATGCCTTATTTTCTTCTTTATGTTTCCTATAAATGTGTTTTTTTAACAAGTTCTTATCGAAGGTTGTATAGTCACAGTACATACAAGATGCAATTTTTATGTTTAATTCCACTCTTTTTTCTAACTCATTTTGTTCTTTATGTTTCCTATAGATGTGCTTTTTTAAAGAACAATTTTCCTTTGTTTTAAAATTACAGTACATACAAGGGTAAGTTTTTACTTCAATTGCAACTTTATTTTTTTCCTTATGTTTGCTATAGATGTGACTACGCAACCTTCGCCTTTCCAATGCTGTGAAATCACAGTACTCACAAGAGAAAGTTTTGATATTTATTTCCAATTTTTTTTCTATAGATGTGTTTTTTTAACTGGTCGTTCTCGAGGGTGGTATAGTCACAGTACATACAAGATAAAATTTGTACGTTTAGTTTTAGTCCATTTTCTAACTTATTCTGTTCTTTATGTTTCCTATATATGTGCTTTTTTAAGTAACAATTTTCCTTTGTTTTAAAATTACAGTACATACAAGAGTGAGTATTTTTTTCCTTATGTTTTCTATAGATGTGATTACGCAAACTTCGGCTTTCCTCTGTTGTGAAGTCACAGCACTCACAAGAGTAAGTTTTTACTGGTACTTGTACTACTTTATGTTTAATGACTGTATGTTTTCTTAAGGAGTCGTTACAGAAGGTTGTATAGTCACAGTACATACAAGATTTAATTTTTATGTTTAATTCTACTCTTTTTTCTAGCTCATTTTGTTTTTTATGTTTCCTAAAGATGTGCTTTTGTAAGGATTGGTTTCCAGTGGTTGTAAAGTCGCAGTACGCACAAGGGAAGGTTTTTATTTCTATGGATACTTTATTTTCCAAGTCATTTTGTTTTTTATGTTTCATATATAAGTGTTTTTGTAAGTAACGTTTTTCCTTTGTTTTATAGTCACAGTACATACAAGATATGCTTTTTACATGGTCTTTCATCATATGTTGGTTTACTTCGTATTCTGATCCCAGGAAAAAACATTTGCTGTATTTGCAAGTTGTGTCACTAAAACTAAAAGAAAAGTTTAATTTTTTTTTATTTTGCTAGTCTCACAATAAAATTAAAATAAAACGCTTTTATGCCTCTATACTTTGTATTAAAAAATGTTTCAATGTTACAACTGAAGCACAATTTTTTTTAAGAAAGCTTTATTATATAAAGGAATCTAAAACTAATACAAACATTTTAATTGTAATAAATAAACTGTAAATATTTAACTCTCCCCAGTTTCTAATCCATGAATTGACCTTTATTTTACGCTTTTTTCGTAAAACCATCCATTTAAATGATAGTACTTAGATGGTAGATATTTTCTTTTTCAGGTTCATGTATAAGATGCCTTATTTTCTTCTTTATGTTTCGTATAAATGTGTTTTTTTAACAAGTTCTTATAGAAGGTTGTATAGTCACAGTACATACAAGATGCAATTTTTATATTTAATTTCACTCTTTTTTCTAACTCATTTTGTTCTTTATGTTTCCTATAGATGTGCTTTTTTAAAGAACAATTTTCCCTTGTTTTAAAATTACAGTACATACAAGGGTAAGTTTTTACTTCAATTGCAACTTTATTTTTTTCCTTATGTTTGCTATAGATGTGACTACGCAACCTTCGCCTTTCCAATGATGTGAAATCACAGTACTCACAAGAGTAAGTTTTTATATTTATTTCCAATTTTTTTTCCAACTCATTTTGTTCTTTATGTTTTCTATAGATATGTTTTTTTAACTGGTCGTTCTCGAGGTAGGTATAGTCACAGTACATACAAGTTTTTATATTTATTTCCAATTTTTTTTCCAACTCATTTTGTTCTTTATGTTTTCTATAGATGTGTTTTTTTAACCGGTCGTTCTCGAGGGTGGTATAGTCACAGTACATACAAGTTTTTATATTTATTTCAAATTTTTTTTCCAACTCATTTTGTTCTTTATGTTTCCTATATAAGTGCTTTTTTAAATAACCATTTTCCTTTGTTTTAAAATTACAGTACATACAAGAGTGAGTATTTTTTTCCTTATGTTTTCTATAGGTGTGATTACGCAAAGTTCGGCTTTCCTCTGTTGTGAAGTCACAGCACTCACAAGAGTAAGTTTTTACTGGTACTTGTACTACTGTATGTTTAATGTATGTATGTTTTCTTAAGGAGTCCTTACATAAGGTTGTATAGTCACAGTACATACAAGATTTAATTTTTATGTTTAATTCTACTCTTTTTTCTAGCTCATTTTGTTTTTTATGTTTCCTAAAGATGTGCTTTTGTAAGGATTGGTTTCCAGTGGTTGTAACCTCGCAGTACGCACAAGGGAAGGTTTTTATTTCTATAGATACTTTATTTTCCAAGTCATTTTGTTTTTTATGTTTCATATATAAGTGTTTTTGTAAATACCGTTTTTCCTTTGTTTTATAGTCACAGTACATACAAGATATGCTTTTTACATGGTCTTTCATCATATGTTGGTTTACTTCGTATTCTGATCCCAGGAAAAAACATTTGCTGTATTTGCAAGTCGTCTCACTAAAACTAAAAGAAAAGTTTAAATTTTTTTTATTTTGCTAGTCTCACAATAAAATTAAAATAAAACGCTTTTATGCCTCTATACTTTGTATTAAAAAATGTTTTAATATTACAACTAAAGCACATTTTTTTTTAAGAAAGCTTTATTATATAAACGAATCTAAAACTAATACAAACATTTTAATTGTAATAAATAAACTGTAAATATTAAACTTCCCCCAGTTTCAGGTATAAGATGCCTTATTTTCTTCTTTATGTTTCCTATAAATGTGTTTTTTTAACAAGTTCTTATCGAAGGTTGTATAGTCACAGTACATACAAGATGCAATTTTCATATTTAATTCCACTTTTTTTTCTAACTCATTTTGTTCTTTATGTTTCCTATAGATGTGCTTTTTTAAAGAACAATTTTCCTTTGTTTTAAAATTACAGTACATACAAGGGTAAGTTTTTACTTCAATTGCAACCTTATTTTTTTCCTTATGTTTGCTAGAGATGTGACTACGCAACCGTCGCCTTTCCAATGCTGTGAAATCGCAGTACTCACAAGAGAAAGTTTTTATATTTATTTCCAATTTTTTTTCCAACTCATTTTGTTCTTTATGTTTTCTATAGATGTGTCTTTTTAACTGGTCGTTCTCGAGGGTGGTATAGTCACAGTACATACAAGATAAAATTTGTACGTTTAATTTTAGTCCATTTTCTAACTTATTTTGTTCTTTATGTTTCCTATATATGTGCTTTTTTAAGTAACAATTTTCCTTTGTTTTAAAATTACAGTACATACAAGAGTGAGTATTTTTTTCCTTATGTTTTCTATAGATGTGATTACGCAAACTTCGGCTTTCC